TACATCGCAATGACCGGCCTCACCCTGCGCAGACTGGCCGCCTTCTCATTTTTAGACACCCTAGATCAACGGCAGCTGCGGCCTCACTCAGACCCCCATCGCCTCACCGCCAGTCATAGCCATGACGTCAGGCATCATCCAGGTGGTACAACATTCCGCCGCTCCGCTGGCATGTTTTGCCAACGCCTTTGACACCACGACCTGTTCCGACGCAGCCGGCCGCCACCGACGACGGGGCGGCTAGTCTTGTACCAGCGCCAGATGCCAAAATCGTCATAGGCAGAGCGGACTCGCGGGTAACTACTGGCGTACTCCAAGTAGCAGTGTCCTATCCGGCGCCTCCTAAACGGAGGTCCGCCGCCCGGGCGCCTCGGGTGACGAGCGATCTAAACGTCACCGGGACTGACGGTACTACTGTGGTCGGCTCAACGCAGTGACGAGATTCGTAGAAGTTTGGCTACTTCAGCTACTCTCCATCCGAATCTGGAGTAGCGAAATTTTCTCGTGATGCTATACATCTACGCCGTGCAACGGGCGCTGCCGCAGTACCGTGACTTCAGGATAGCCGGCGAGATCGTCTATCCGAACCGCACGGTGCGAGTTCTGCAAGGCGGCCTGCCCGCTTCGTTCATCACCGACCTCGGCGCGTCGTGCTGGCCGTTTCTTGGTGCCTACGCCAGTTCCATGATGGCCCTGCTGCTGACCGAAATTCCCGGGATATACTCGATATGGCGTGCAACGCCTACGGGGCACGCGCCGTGACCGTAGCCTGACTACTGTGCGCCGGTTTTCGGTCGCAAGCAGTGGCGGGAGCGTAGTGGGCAATACCTGCAAGCCCTGCTGGTGCAGTCCCAGGAGCGGCGCAATGCGGAAAACCTGTCAGAGACGGTTACAGCGTCGCCGCGTGTGCTGCAGCGTTTTCTTACCGAAGCCCGCTGGGATGACGACGCGGTCATCGGCCGGCTGCAGGAGTATCTGGGTTCTCGGTTGGAGCATCCGCAGGCGGTGTGGGTGTTGGACGGCAGCGACTTTCCCAAGCAGGGGATGAAGTCGGCGGGAGTCGCTCGGCAGTACTGTGGAGCATTGGGGAAGATTGCCAACTGCCAGGCTGGGGTGTTCTTGGCCCACGTGGGGCCCCGGGGCCGGGCGCTGGTGGACAAGAGGCTGTATCTGCCCCAGGAATGGACTGGGGATGGGGAGCGTTGTGCGATGGCGGGGGTGCCGGCGAACCGGCGGGAGTACCAAAGCAAGACGGAGTTGGCCATGGATATGCTGGAGTGTGCCCAGGCCAGAGGCCACCTCAGCGCACAGTGGGTGGCTGGCGATTCCGCTTTCGGGATGTCGCCGACGCTGCGGGAGGGCCTGGCGTCTGCGGGAATGTACTACGTTTTGGACGTGCGTCCGGATATGACGGTGTGGCCGCTGGAACCCACTTGGACCGATCCGCCTTACCAGGGTAACGGGCGTCCCCGCAAACCCAGACCGCGGCGTGAGGAGCGGCGGACCATGTCGGAGCGCAGTACGGCGCTGCCGCCGGATGCCTGGCGAGAGCTAACCATTGCGGCGGGCAGCCAGGGACCACGCACCTACCTATTCAGCGCCCAGCGGGTGCGGGTAACGCGCCGACGCAAGCCCGGCGAAATCCTCTGGGCCATCTATCGCCAGAACCGCGACGGCAGCGAGCCCCGCTACTATCTATCCAACACTCCGGAGGACACGCCTCTGGAAACCCTGGCCTATGTGGGCGGCTCCCGCTGGCGCATTGAAACCGAGTTCGAGACCGAGAAGAGCGACGTGGGCCTCGATGAGTACGAAACTCGCACCTGGACCGGCTGGCATCACCACATCACCATGTGTCTGCTGGCCGGCGCCTTTCTACTGACCTTACAACAGGACTGGGGGGAAAAAGATGCCCCTGATCACCCGGCCCCAGGTGTACCGAGTGGTGCGTGAGCTTTTGCCGCGGGAGCGGTTCGGGCCGGAGGAGTTGCTGCTATGGCTAGATGGTGTCCAGCAACGCAACGAGCGAGCCAGACAGTCCCATGAGAAACGCCGCGCCGCTGGCCAGACATCCACCAGCATCCCTCCTTAACCCGTCGTTGTAATACTAAGAGGGTGTGTGACAAATCCGCTGGATCACTTCGTTCTGGCTGAATAATCTGCGATTCAGTCCCCTCTCCCTTGATGTGAAAGGGTTAGGGTGAAGGTGAAAATCCTATTGTCACACACCCTCTAAGAGTGACATTGCGATGGCTAACCGGTGAATTGCAATTGATAGAATTGATGCAGGCATTTGGGCACCTGCATTTCAACAAATTTTTCACGACCTGAATAATGCAAGGATTCGCAATGACAGTTATCTTTCACACCAATAGTGGACTGCCGGTACTCGCGGGTGACATGCTACTCTCGGTAGCCGACTCCACGGCAAAAAGCGACCTCAAGCTACCTTCGCATCCCAAAGGAATAGTCATTCCGCTTGGCGTGGTTCCGGATCATATACCGGTGAAAATGCGCAGAAAAATATTCCTCGTCAATGACCATCTAGCGATTGGAGTTGCCGGCCCTGTCACGCATCTCCGGATGTTCTTGCATGATTTTACGGATGCCTTTGGAGACAAACCCCTGTTTGCCGCCGGGGAAATCAAGGACTATCTGAGCGTTTATTCGTCCACGAAGTTGGGTCGCCAGATCTTCGACCAAATAGGGTTTATCATTTTGGTCGAAGCTACGGACTGGCGCGGTTCGTTAGCTCGTGGGGCAACCCCTGAAACCAGTTTCGTTAGCAAAACCTTCGGCAAAACAATTGCCATCGGCTCAGGATCCCATGGCATCATCGACCAGATCGGTAAGCTCGACTGTTACGCTTACGGGTTGTCCCAACCGCCGGACGGAGATGGAAAATTTCCAGAATTCCCATCATTGGTCCAAAATCTGTGCCTCTTGGGCAACGTTTACTGGAATGAGATTGTGTCGCCATCCAGGATTTTCGAAGCGTGGGGTGGAGCCTACGATTTGATCTACCAAGACAAAACGGGAAAATTTCTGTACCTCGACGATTACACGATCGTCTTGCGTCTTTTTGACGTAGATCGCGCTGAGAGAGGCATCCAACTCATGAACGTCCTCAAATACGAGCGAAATTCCGAGGTATCCTATGTTGCTATGCTGACTGATAACGGCCTGAATTTTTTAGGTGGCACAGACCTGACGTCTTCCCGGGCTCGAACCACCATTACCTTGAACCGCGACGAATTCACGATGAACTCGAAGTACCACATCTCTATCATCGCGGTAGGCAAAGGGAACCGTTTTGGTCAACCGCTGGTACAAGTTGATGGTGCGGACCCCGACGAGCTAACAAAGCAAACGGTGTTCACTTGGTTCGATGACGAGGGACGTTTATCCGTAGCCTTCCACGCCGACCATGACAAATGGCTTGAAGAGCAGGCAATGTCATTCTACTCGAAACACCAAGACAGTTGGGGTTAGCGCATCGCTTTCCGTGGGCGTACCAGCCGTGGCTTGGCCTCCGACTTGACGTCCCACCGACGCCGCCTCGGCCACGCATATTGCAGCACCACATCAATTGCACTGCAGGAGGATCGACATGACAACTGCCTAAGTCGTCGTCGGCCTTCCTGTTCGGCGCATTTCCTTAGCCGACTGACCGGCGTTGATTGCCGGCAACCGCCGGAAGATTGAGGATCACGAGCAGCGTTACGAGCTGGCCAGCGCCAACATGGCCGTGCTCGTCGACTGGGACGCGATCATACCCTCCATCGAGGTAATCAAGTGGTATCACGCTTACGGCGGGCTGAAATCTCTCCTCGTAACGACCCGCACGACTGGAACTCATGGGACAACTACCGAAACGTTCACAACCGCCGATTGAGCGAACACTCCTTCGTAGTGGGCCTCAGTGACACACTGGTTTTTAAACTGAGCGAAACAGAGGCGACACTCCGCCTGGACGGTTTCATTGAGTGCCCAGGGGAGCGTGTTGCTCGAGGTGACGAAGGAATTTGACTTGCGATACGACGGTAATGGCAGGATGTACGTGCGCTGCTACCGCTATCGATACATTGGCCTGGTCCCCGGCAGTCACGTTCTCCTTAAGTACCATAACCTGCATAATGACCCTAATCAGTACGTCCAGCGCGTCTACGATCCGTCAGGCGGCGCAGAACTCCTGCACGAAGTCCTCCGTCCGGATCAGTTTCCGACCTTCTCCGAAGTCCGCGACGAACTGGAATACCTCGCGCGCGACTTCCGGGCCAGCTAACCTGCGCCACTGAAGGTCTGCGTCCCGTGTCGACGCTACTTTGCGCCTCCTCTGCGCCAAGTGGTGCGCCGAACCCTCCGTCCACGGCGGCAAGGTCCGCCCCAAATTTGCCTCATTGATTATCTGACACCCGCGCCCTTACCATAACCCGGACGCCCGGGCTGTCATAGTCCCGCAGGCAAGAAATCCGCATCGCGACCATGTCTCGGGCGAAAACGGCCATCCAAATCAGCATTCAAGTCCAAACTGCGTCTGTGGGGAGTATCTCTGATCGTTTTCACCGGGGTAGTCTCCCTGCCGCCGCGCCTGCCACAGCGTGCCATGCTTCGGGCATGGAAAATGAGAGCAAAAACAGCAGCGCAAATCCTCCGGCCGTGGGGCTGATTACCGCTTCGAGACCTGGTCACCAATCGTATATCCATCGCCTGCACCATCAAAAACCCGGAGGCATCCCATCGCAACATCAGTTTGAGTTCCTGCGTTGGAAGCGTTATCGCCTGTGCCCTGCCGGCGCCACATCATTACGCAGCGCGCGAATGACATAATTGATCCGTCTATATCCCGTACATCCTGTCCATCCATGCCATGACCCCCGGTTGACCCAGTCCCCGCGCTGCCCTATCATCCCGGCCATCACACAAGAGTCCCTTCTCCCGCTACGGGAGAGGGCTGGGGTCAGGGTACAACCCTGCCCGTCGCCAAGAGAGGTGCAGCCATGCGTGGAGCCGAAGCAGTTGTCCGGGCCCTAGAACAGGAAGGAATACGTTACATATCCGGTTTTGCCGGCGGTGGACTCGCCCCCCTCTGGGGCCCCTTGCGCGCCTCCACGGTACGGCCATTTGCCGCCCGCAACGAGCGCCTCGGCGTTGAGATTGCCGACGGCTACGCCCGCGCCACGGGTGAGGTCGGCGTCGCAATGACCGGCACCGGGCCGGGCGCCACCAACTGCCTCACCGGCATCGCCGGTTGCTATGCCGACAACGTTCCCGTGCTGCTCCTTATGGGTCAGCACCCGCTGCGGAACCTCGGCCAGGAGTGGCAGCAGGAGGTCTCCGCCAGCATCTTCGACGGCCTGTGCAAGTGGCGCGGCTCCTTCACCCGCGTCCAGGACATCCCCCAGGTTATGCGCCGCGCCTTCACCGCGCTCCGTTCCGGGTCCCCCGGACCGGTGGTGCTGGAAATGCACCAGGACGTCCTCACCGCCGAGGCCGACGAGTCGGTTCTCGCCTACACCCCGGTAGGTACCCCCGGCAAGTCCGGCCCCGCCGATGCCGAAGTCCAGCGCGCCGCAGATATGCTGGTCGGCGCGAGCCTCCCAGTCCTCAACGCCGGGGGTGGCGCCATGAGCGCCGGCGCCGCTGATGAAGTCCGCGAGCTCGCCGAACTGCTCTCCATGCCCGTCGCCACTACCATTATGGGCAAGGGCATCTTCCCAGAAAATCACCCGCTCTCCCTCGGCGGCGGCGTCTACCCCCGCAGCCGTTACGCCTCCGGCGCCGCCATCCAGATCAACCGGAAAGCCGATGTCGTCCTCGCCGTCGGAAACTCCTTCCGCCAGCCCAACGGCACCGACGGCCGGCCAATCCCGGCCGGCGTCAGCATCATCCACATCAATGCCGATCCCGCTGACATCAACAAGACCTACCAGGTCGATCTCCCTATGCTCGCGGACGCCAAGCTGGCCCTCCGCGCCATCATCGACGCCGTCCGCCAGCGCATCGGCCCCAGCGGCGGCGGCATCAAGCAGGAAATCGTTGATGAGATCCGCGCGTGCCACGAGAAATCCGAGGCCGAGTGGATGCCGCGCTTCACCGACTCTGAGACCCCTACCAACGGGTACCGTGTCGTCCATGAGCTGCAGCAGCTGATCGACCCGGACCGCACCATCGCCCTCCATGACGCTGGGGGCAGCCGCGGTTACGTGGTTCCCTTCTGGCAAACCACTCGCCCGCGCAACTTCGTCGCAATGGGCGGTATGGCTGCCATGGGTTGGTCCGTCGGCGCTGCCATCGGCACCAAGCTCGGCCGTCCTGACCATCTGGTCGTGCACGTCCTCGGCGACGCGTCCTTCGGCATGACCGGCATGGACCTGGAGACCGCCTCCCGCATGGGCCTGCCCATCCTCACCGTCGTCATTAATAACGGCGGGACCGGCGGCGGCATGATGGGCATGGAAGACCCCAACGGAACACCCCCGGAGATGGCCGTCCTCGGCGGTAACTTCAGCGTCGTTGCCAACGGCCTCGGTTGCTTCTCCGAGCGGGTGGAGCATCCCGAGGACATCCGCCCGGCCTTCCAGCGCGCCATCCGCGCCACCGAGGAAGGCCAGTCCGCCCTCGTCGAGGTCATGATCCGCCCGCTGCCGACTCCGGAAATCCCGGACGACTGGTCGCTATAACGCGTGGGGGCGGACCAAAATTCGCCCCCACGTCTGCGACGAAACGCGTGCGGGCGGGTGTCAAACCCGCCCGCATCTTGAATCCACGGTCTACCGATTGCTCCAGGAGGAAACGCCATGCAGTCCGTCACCATCGATCGCGCCAAGCGTCTCAAGGAACAGCCGAACTTCGGACACAATCGCTGGCACCCCGACGTCCCGCCCATCGTCGAGGTCGACCCCGGCGAGGAGGTTGTACTCGAGACCCGCGACGCCTCGGATTCCCAGATCCAGCCCGCCATGACCGCCGCCGATCTCGCCGGCCTCGACGCCAAGGTTGGTCACCCACTCACCGGGCCAGTCTATGTCAAAGGCGCGGAACCCGGCGACCTGCTCGAGATCGAGTACCTTGACATAACCGCTCAGCCCCGGGGCTGGACCCGCAATCGTCCTGGCGCTGGCTTCCTCCGGGACGTCTTTACCGACCCCTATCTCGTCCATTGGGACATCGCGGATGGTTGGGCCACGTCTGCCCAGATTCCCGGTGTCCGCATCCCCGATGGGTCTTTCATGGGCACGGCGGGTCTGGCTCCCTCCCACGCTCAGTTGGACGCTTGGGCCTCGCGCGAGGCCGACTGGGTGCGCCGGGGCGGGCAGGCCGCTCCCCCGGACCCTGAGGACGCGGTGCCCGCCGGTGGCCGTATCGCCAACGAAGGGCTGCGCACCATTCCCCCCCGCGAAAACTGCGGCAACATCGACGCCAAGCACTCACCACGGGATCACGGCTATTCATCCCCGTCGCGGTTCCGGGCGGCCTCTACTCAGCGGGAGACGGTCACTTCGCTCAGGGTGACGGCGAGGTTTGCATTACCGCTATCGAAATGGGCGCAACCGCTGCCGTCCGATTCGCCGTCCACAAGGGCGAGGCTGCGCGGCATAACATAATCTTCCCGCGCTACTCCCACCCCGGCTACTTCCTGCCGCCCGAATGGGCCGCGCCTCGTAACTTCACCGCCACTGTCGGCTACCCCATTCGCGCGGACGGTACCCAGGAGGGCGAGGGTAGCCTGTCCCTCGCCGCTCGCAACGCCATGCTCAACATGATCGCCCTGCTGCAGGAACGTGGTTGGACCGCAGAGCAGGCTTACATAATTTGTAGCGTCGCCGTGGATCTACGCGTGAGCAACATCGTGGACCTGCCCAACGTCACCGTGTCGGCCTTCCTTCCCGAGGGCATTTTCAACGGCTAGCGCACACAAACCGTTGATTTCCCGTGGGGGCCCATCTTGGGCCCCCTTTTTTGCGCGCAACACTCTCTGCGCGCCTGCGAGCACGTCGGGGTGACTGACTCGGCGTAGGTTCCAAGCTCCGCACCAATGGCCGTTTGACGGCGAAACGCCCCGACCATTTGCCACCGGCCGGGGCGATCCGTTGTCCGTCGCTTGCGCGAAGAACGTGCACACCGGTGAACCAGCTCGCCTGTGGTCTGCCGATGTGTCACCTGCGTCGCGGGCGGCTCTGGGGCCGCTCCGCGACGTGGTTGCGATTAGTTGTTCGTGCGCTTGACCTCGAGCACTTCACCAGGGGCCAGCGCGACGCGCTTTACGTTGATGCCCATCTTGAGCATCCAGTAACCCAGCGTGGCCTTGCTGACACCCAGGGTGTCGGCCGTCGCCGTCAATCCTTGGTCGTTGACCAGTTCCGGCAGCAACCGCTCCAGGGGCTGGTCGAATTCCTTTTCTACGCGAAGCATCAATTTGGTTTTGCGTGCCATGATGCACCTCCGTCGGTGTACCTATTGATGTACATTCGATAATCGACAGTGCTGGTACCCTGTTATTCCGTTACCGGTATGAACTTGACGCTACACTACCGAGGGATTTACCGAATGTCAAGCGTAGCCAAAGAACAATCCTAAAAGATTTTTATATTCTTTTAGAACGCCTCTGGTTACGTGCCTATTTTGGCACAGGGGAAATCTGGTTGCTAGGAACCGGAAACCCGAATTTGGTCAATTTTCGCGACTTTCCGTCTTTGTCCTCGGTCAGGGTCCGGTCCGCCGGGTTGGCGGGGAGCGAGTCCAGGAGTGGAGGCGCCGAAACGTGTTACCTGGTCAATTGAATGTCATTGGTGAATGCCCGCGGCCTGTCCAGGCGTTGGTGTACCGCCGACCAAGAAGCCCTCACGACAGGTACCGTCGATCACCCAACCCGATTCAGTGTACAGATTATCGGTACACGCCGAAGAGGAAGCTTCTCGCGGATCGATGAGCGACGGCGCAGAGTAGTAGTGTAGTGATGATTTGGCAATGTATGGCTTACCGGTACACCGCTAAGGTCATGATCGGTTACGCTGCACTCACTTCGGGTTACACGTGAAGGGGCAACAGAAAATGTACTGTAGATGAAGATGCACGAGCCCGTGTTCGTGTACTGCCGGAATGGTTAATGGGTAATGTAATTGCAGCTGAAGTACACTGCCGGGAATGCTGTTGGCATTGGACCCACCGCGCGTGATCGTTGGTTCTCGTGAGCGAAGCCCATCCCTCGGCATGCGCTGCGCGGTTGACACCGCCGGACGTCCTACCTAATCTGGGCCGACGCGCCGTTGCGGCGCATAGTCATCCACAAGGGAGACCGGCTTTGGGCATACCAACCATGCGCGACGTGTATCGCGCCCGCGCCACGATCAGCTCTTACTTTCCGCGCACGCCGTTGACCTATTCGGCTGGACTTAGTGAGGCCCTGGACGCCGAGGTCTACTTGAAGCACGAGGAGCATCTGCCTCTGGGCGCGTTTAAGGCTCGCGGCGGCATCAATCTGCTTGCCAACATGGATGAAGCGGACCGGCAGCGCGGCGTCATCACCGCCAGTAGCGGCAATCACGGTCAGTCCATCGCCAGCGCCTGCCGGGTCTTCGGAGCCCGGGCAATGATCGGGCTGCCGGTGGATGCGAATCCTAATAAGGTTGCGTCAATGGAAGGCTTGGGCGCTGAGCTGATTTTCCACGGAGCGAACTTCGATGAAGCCCGTCGATACTGCGAGCGCCTCGCTGCAGAAGAGGGTTACCGCTATGTCTCACCCGGTCAATGAGCCGGAACTGATAGCGGGAGTTGCCACCGCCAGCCTCGAAATCGTCGAGGACCTGCCAGATGTTGACGTGATGTTCCTGCCGATCGGTGGTGGCAGCGGCGTATCAGGAGCGTGCGTTGTCGCTCAGGCGCTCAACCCCGGAATCCGCGTCGTCGCTGTTCAATCGGAAGCCGCTCCCGCCGCTTACCTGTCCTGGCAGCAGGGACAACTGGTGCAAGCCCCCATGGGTACGTGGGTGGAAGGCACGGCGACAGCTGAAGGTTACGAGCTGCCACAGCAGATAATGCGGCACCGTTTGCACGACTTCGTCTTGGTCGGCGAGGACGACATCCGCCGCGCGGTGGCGATGCTGATTGAGAAGGCGCACACTCTCGCCGAAGGCGCCGGGGCCACCGCGTTGGCCGGAGCCGTGCGCCGTCAGGACTTGGTGCAGGGGCGAAAAATATCGATAACCGTCAGCGGCGGCAACATCACGCTGGCACAGCTGCGTGATTGCATTGACGTCTACCTGGGAGAATGACTACCTTTCTTCCAGAAAACGCGCCAGTTCATCCCGTCGGAATTCGGGCAGCGTGCGCTCGCCGCTCCGGTCGATCAGCCAAAGACCGTCCGAGGGCTCCATCATCTGGCCGATTTCCCAGCCGCTGACGCCCAGCCGATCCAGGGCGCGCAGGGCCCTCGGCACATCACCTGCCGGCATGGTCGCGATCAGGGCGCCTGAGCCCAGCAGTCCCAGTGGGTCTATCCCCAACGCCTCGCAGATGGCCGCGCACTCCGGGAGCAACGGCACGCTCTCCGCTTCCGCCACCAGGCCCAGGCTCGACGCCGCGGCAATTTCCCGGAGGGCGGTGATCAGCCCTCCTTCGGTCACGTCGTGCATGCTGTGCACTGTTCCGGTTTCGAATAGCGCCCGCGCTGCTGCCAGTACACTGATACCTGGATCGTCCAGGTAGGCCATGGCCCTGGTTAGTGAACCGGTGTCCAGGCCCCGCTCTCGCAGTTCGTCCGCGTGTTCCCGTGCCAGTATCGCCGTGCCTTCGATTGCCACGCCGGTTGTGACGACAATACTGTCACCGTCTTGCGCTCCCCCGGTGGACACCAATCGGGAGCGGTCCTCAAGTTCGCCCAGCATCGTGCCGGCCACGATGGGCCGCGGTATCCCGTCGGCCACTTCGGTGTGTCCGCCAACTATTGCCACTCCCAGCTGACGGCACGCGTCCGCGATATCGGCGAAGATGCCCCGTACATCGTCGATTTCGGAGTCGGCCGGCAACAACACGGTGGGCAGAAACCACCGTGGAACACCGCCGGTGCAGGCCACGTCGTTGGCGTTGACCTGGACCGCGTACCATCCTATTTTGTCAGTGGCGAACGTAATCGGGTCTGATTTGGCGATCAGGACCCGATCACCCATGTCCAGCACGGCGCAGTCCTCTCCCACGCTCGGGCCAACCAATACCCTGGGGTCAGTGACGCCCAGATCTGAGAGCAACTCCGCCATGAAGTGGGGCGGCAATTTTCCTGTTTCCAATTCCTTTCCTTGTCGCAGGTTGTCCGATTGCGGATAGTTTAACAGAAGCACCTGTTCCCAGGGTTCTCGGGTCGCTAATCCGTGCTTGCCATGAGGGACGTTCGTCACCACCTTTGCGCCGTTTGGTTGCGCGCGCAACCGGCGACCGTACGGGCGTTTCGGTGGTCATTGGACCGTGCTATCGTCCTGCACCGTGCTAACGTGCTGCAGAGGAATAGCCGCGCCATCGCGGTTGGGGGGAGGGATTGGTCTGGCTACCCATGCGCGCCCCGCTCAGTTGCGCGCCGAATCGTTCGTGCTATAATTCGCGAACTTTCCGGTTGGGCCGTCAATCGGATCCATGCTTGGCGCATTCGTCTAGCGGCCCAGGACACCGCCCTCTCAAGGCGGAGACCAGGGGTTCGAATCCCCTATGCGCCACCAATCGCCAATTACGCCGACGCCGTTATCAGGACGTCGGCGATTTGATATCTGGCCCTGCCTGGGTTTTTGTTATGGTGGAATCGACGACACTGGCAGCGTTGGTTCTCGTGCTGTCATCCGCCTTCGCACATGCCACCTGGAACCTGCTTCTCAAGCGCGCCCAGCGGCAGGAGGTCTTCGTATGGTGGCTGTCTGCCGCCGGCGCTGTCGGAGCGGCACCCGTCGCTGTAGTCCTCGCGTTCACCACCGAATTTGATCCTGTCGGGCTCTGGTTTGTAGCCGCATCTGCGCTCGTGCATATTTGCTACTTCCTCAGTTTGGGACGCAGCCTGGCTCGTGCGGATCTTTCGGTGGCCTACCCCATCGCTCGCGGTTTCGGGCCTGGACTCGTGCCGGTACTTGCCGTGTTTACCCTGGGCGAAAGCGTCACCATTCCTGGGTGGGTCGGCATCGGCATCATCGTCCTTGGAATCTATACCACGGCGTGGTGGGGCCAGGTCCGCAGCATCATTGCGGGGCAACGCGCCGCCACCCGAGCGGGGATCGTCTATGCTCTGATCACGGGTTTGTGCATCGCTCTGTATACCGTGGTGGACAAACAGGGCGTGTCCTATGTGAGCCCGTTCCTGTACCTCTATCTAACGACATGCGGCGTGGCCGTGGGGATGCTGCCGTACATTCTGAGGGCGCACGGAGCGTCTGCGGTGGCCCAAGAATGGCGGGGTGGGATGCGGGCGGTCGCCGCCGCGTCGGGCCTTTTGTTCCTTGCCTACGGGTTGGTGCTAACGGCGATGCGCTTTACGGACGCCAGCTACGTCGCGCCGGCTCGGGAGGTGGGCTTGCTGTTCGCGGTCCTGCTCGGCGTCGTCGTGTTGAAAGAGCGGATTACCCCCGGTAGGTTGATAGGCGCGGCAATGATAGTCGCGGGGTTGGTGCTGATTACCGCCTTCCGGTAACGTGCGGTGAGCAGCGGATATAATGGGCTCGACGCCGTTAGCAACCAATGCTGCTCGAGGAGGAACACCATGGCTGATCAATTCGACCTGTTTGAGGCAATCTACAGTCAGCGCCAGATCACCCGCTACAAGCCGGACCCGGTGCCGCAATCCGCGATCCAGCAAATGATCGACGCTGCGGTTCGCGCGCCCAACGGCGGCAATACGCAGCCGTGGGAGTTTGTGGTCGTGAACGACCCGGACACGGTGAGCGCCCTCGGAGAGTTGTACAAGAACACCTGGCTGGACGCTATGGGCTGGGAGCCATCGCCGACCGAGTCGCGCGTTTATCGCCACGCCAGGTACCTGGCGCATCACATGCCCGAAGTTCCGGCGATGATCGTGGTGTGCGCGGATCACTCGCGCGGCAGCGGCTTCCAGCCGGATGAGCCCATCGAGCGCGGACGTCACGCGGCATCCGTTTGGCCCGCGATCCAGAACCTTTTCCTGGCCGGACGGGCCCTGGGACTTGGCACGCGCATCACAACCGTCCTCAATCGCAAGGAGGACGAGGTACGCGAGCTTCTGGGGCTGCCGCAGTCTGCGGAGATGATATGCTTGACCCCGGTCGGATACCCTCGAGGCAGTTTCGGCCCCACAAACCGCCGCCCGCCGTCGGATGTCACTTCGTTCAACCGCTGGGGTTTCCGCGATTGGGCCGACTAACCGCCAGGAGTCCTGATGAGCGATCCCACTACCCTGAAGATTGACGGCGCGCGCTACATCGTCACGATGGACCCGGAGCGACGCATTGTGGCCGACGGTTCGGTTGTCATAACCGGGAACCGTATCAGCCAAGTCGGCAAGGCCGCCGATCTCGCGTCCGTTACGGCCGACCGTACCATTGACGGGTCTGGCATCGTGCTCACGCCGGGATTCGTCAACGGGCACATGCACATCAGCTACGCCCACGCCGCGCGGGGCCTGTTTCCGGATGATCTCGGAGCGGAATACCTGCCCAACGTGTTTCGGCTGCAGCAGGCGATGACCGCAGATGACGAATACGCAACCTCGCTACTCGCCATCGTCGAGCTGTTGAAATATGGGACCACCACGTTTATTGACCCGGGGACGACCACCCATCTCGATGAATGCCTGGCCGCCTACGATCTGGCCGGCTGCCGCATCGTGATTGGTCGCAGTGTGCAGGATCGGCCCAATCCGCTGAACTTGCCGGTTTACGGAACCGATGCGGCGATCCAGGCTACTGAAGACGTCGTTTCGCTGGCCGATCGCCTGCCCGGCGATCTGGTGTCCGCGTGGTCGATGCCGTTCTCAGCGGAGTTCTGCACGCCGGAACTGCTGGCTGCCTGCGACCGGATCGCTGCCGACCATGCGACGCGATCCACGCTGCACTTTACGAACGGGCCCCGATGGATAGCAGAGTGCCGCCGCACCCATGGCTGCTCTCCCACCGAGTACCTCGATCGTTGCGGGGCGCTCAACACGCGCATGACGCTGGCGCACTGCCTCGGCATCGACACGGACGAAGCCAAACTGATCGCTGACCGCGGGTCCGCCGTGGTGATGTGCCCGACCGCCGCGGTCAAAGGCGGGGCTGGGACTGCCTCGCACGGTTTGCTTCCCGAGCTGCTGGAATTCGGGGCGACCGTGGGCCTGGGCACCGACGCCGGCAACAATTCCAACCTGCTCGAAACCTTGCGCTCGGTATACTTGGCCGCGGTGTTGTACAAGGACGGCCGGCGGGATGTGAGCATGATACCAGCGGAAACGGCGCTCGAGCTTGGCACAATCGGGGGCGCGGCCGCTCTCGGTATGGACCACCTGATAGGCTCTGTCGAACCGGGAAAAGCGGCGGATCTGGTGTTGTTTGACACTCGCCGGGCCGAATGGGGGGCTTTGCACAATCCGATCAACAGCCTGGTTTACAACGCGGACGGTCGCAGCGTTCACACGGTCATCGTAGACGGCAAGGTAGTCGTGGGCGATCACCGACCGCTGTTCGCAGACGAAGCGGCGTTGGTGGAAGAGGTTCAAACCAGAGGCGAGGCGCTGTTAAAAAGAACCAGCGTGGCTTTTGCGCCACGCTGGCCCGTGGTGTAAACCCGCGAACCCAAGGATCACGTATCCTGGCCCGGTTCCCCGATGTCCCTGAGGATGTTCTCCAGAGCCTGGTCCAACGCGGGATCCAGATCAACCGGTTCAACATAAGGCGTGTACTGGTAGTCGAGACGAACCTGATCGATTATCTGCTTCGCTTCGCTGTTGGTACGACCGAGCCGTTCCAGGTTGTCCAGAAGTTCTTGCGACTCCCGATTGCCCATCTGCTCCAACTCGGACAGGTCCATCTCTATCTTGAACAGTGACCTGACGCGGCGCAATATGTCGTAGTAGGCCCGGTGGTCCTGGGTGATGCCCAGTTGGTTGTTGTTGCTGGTCATAAAGGGGTACATGGGGGCCATGGCTCCCATGCGGAACATCTGCACATCCGGATACTGGTAGTGGGCGGCGGATACCAGGGCCATCCCGATGGTTGGCCCCTGCCGGCCACGACTACCGTAACTGCTGAATTGGACTCCGTGACGCTCCAACTGTTCTCGCATTTCGGGACGGGAATACACGCAAGTGATGCGCCGTTCCAAATCCGGAGGAGCTGGCCCGTTGACACCCTCTACGGCAACGGTTTGCTGAATACCCAATTCCTTGATTGCCGAGAAAAAAGCTTCTGCGTAGATGTCCAGGCGGTACCAGGGTTCCTCGCCCAGGAAGACCACCAGGCCGCTGCCAATTTCGTAGAAAGAGTTCTGCCGCGACATCGCCACGCTGGGCAAGCCTTCGTTGAAGGCCGCTGAGGGTCGGAACGCATCGTGCGTACCCGCGACCTGAAACGGGTAGCACATTCGGTTGACATATTCGCTGAATTGACCGAACTGGCGTCCGCTGTTGGTGTCAATGAGATAGCGCGGCAAACCGCTGGAGATACGGCCCCCATTGGACCATTGGCGCCGCCAACCGGCCAGCAGATAGCTGACTTTCGGCTTGTCGGTAAAGGTGAACAGATCCTCTGGCATAAGTTGACCGCCTCCGTGCCCGGTTGCCACGCCGAGGTTTGGCCCAATATATCACATCGCCGGCCGTCGACCCTTATCGGTATGCAGACGGGTCGCTGCGTCGGGGCGGGTGCCAGCCGGACCTAGTTTCGCGAGAAACCGCCGCCACCGACGCCACCGCCGACACCACGGGTTCGCTCGTTGACCAGAAAAGTAGCGGTGTCGCGGCCGTGGGAGGTTTCGAGTTCGGCGTCGAAACGTTGCCCGCCGAACGCGCCCAGCATTTCGAAGCGCCGTTCGGTGTAGACGCGCCCCTCGTATCCTTCGCTCTGAATATCGCGCTCCGGTTCACCGGAAAGATACATTTCAACCGCAGTCGTCATGAGCGAGTCGCGGTCCTCCCCGCTGAGAAAATTCGGAGCGCGCAAGAACACGTAGCCCCAGCGTATGCCCTGGTGTTCCATCATGAGGTCAGAATCCCATTGCTTTCCGACGAGGAAGGACGCGCCAGCAACGTCTCTAAAATAACGCGCGGGTCAGCGGGACGAGCACGGCTGTCGGCGTCCCGGCACAGGCAGATATTGAGGAAATGGTGGGCGGTGAGGGACTCGAACCCCCGGCCTTCTGCGTGTAAAGCAGACGCTCTAACCATCTGAGCCAACCGCCCGGGAGACGTCCCACGCAGACAAAGAAATGGTGCGCTTGGCGAGATTCGAACTCACGACCTCTGCCTCCGCAGGGCAGCGCTCTATCCGCTGAGCTACAAGCGCGCGTCGGAAATTGGTGCCGAGGGAGGGATTTGAACCCACACGTCCTAAAGGACACTGCGCCCTGAACGCAGCGCGTCTGCCGTTTCGCCACCTCGGCAAGGTGGTTTCCGTTTTTGGTCCCGCTGCGGCCGGTATGGTGGGCGATGGAGGATTTGAACCTCCGACCTCCTCGGTGTGAACGAGGCGCTCTAACCGCTGAGCTAACCGCCCGAGCGTGACCTATTGGCAAATATTATAGCCCTGGCGTGCCCACACGGCAACCGGTACACGGCTTCGCGAGAGGCAAGACAAGGACGGACCCGGCACATTGGCTGGCCGGGTCAATGGGCACACGTTATGTAAAAGAAGCCTCAATTTTGTGCGTGCCGTCTACATAACGTGCGTTGTGCGAACCAACTGGGATCAGTGACCACCGACCCCGCTGGGTTCTTTGCCAGGTTCTCCCACGGCTCCCGAATCCCTTAGCCTGGCAAAAGCCTCGGAGTCGTAACCGATCTCCGCCAACACTTCTTCATTGTGTTCGCCCAAAAGCGGAGGGGCCATTCGCAGTTGGGCCGGAGTCCCCTGTAGCTTTATCGGCGAGTTGGGAACCCGAAGGTCCGGCACGTGGGGATGGTTGATCTCCAGGAACATTTCCCTGGCATTGACCTGTTCATCAGCCACCACGTCCGATGTTTTGTTGATCGGTCCCACGGGAACTCCCGCCTCATCGATCACCTTTACCCAGTGCGCCACGGAGTTGGTGGAGAAAATGCCGTTCAAAAGGTCAACCATCTCGCCACGGTGCGCCACCCGATCGGGATTCGTGGCAAACTTGGGATCGTCCTTCAAGTCGGGATGCCCGATTGCGTTACAGAACCGCTCCCAAAGGTTCGGGTTGGCTACCCCCAGGATGAAAAAGCCGTCGGAGGCCTTGAAGCTTTGGTAAGGCACCAGGCTGGGATGGCCGGATCCCAGGCGATGGGGCTCGATGCCGGTGCCGATATAGCCAGTGGCGTGGTAGCTCATGGCGGCGACCTGTCCATCCAGCAGGGCGGTGTCGATAAGCTGTCCCTCTCCCGTCTTGTCCCGATGGTACAGGGCGGTGACGATGGAGCCGTAGGCCAGCATTCCCGTGAAGAGGTCCACCAACGAGAACCCCACCCGCTGGGGCGGGCCGTCCGGATCGCCAGTGAGGTGCATCAACCCGCTGTAGGCCTGGATGATCAGGTCGTAACCCGGCTTGTTGGCCATGGGACCGGTGCGCCCGTAGCCGGAGATGGTGCAATACACGATGTCCGGATTGATGGCCTTGATGTCCTCGTAGCCCAGTCCCATCCGCGCCAAAGTGCCGGCGCGGAAGCTCTCGATCATTACGTCGGCTTCCTTCGCCAGCTTTTTCACGATGTCCAGGCCCTGGTCTGATTTAAGGTTGACGGACAAACTGCGCTTATTGCGGTTGAACGACATGAACTGGGTGCTCTCGCCGTTCCAGATGGGTGGCCATTTGCGGGTTTCGTCACCATCATTGGGCTCTTCGATCTTGATGACGTCGGCCCCCATGTCGGCCAAATTCTGGGTGCAAAACGGGCCCGCCAGGGTGCGGGTGAGATCGACGACCTTGATGTTTTCCAGAGGCTGAGGCATCGTTTTGGTCCTCGCTTTTTCAGGTTTTCCGGATTATAGCACGGGGGTAATCACGCGTTGACGCGAGCGGTTTCAGGTGTTAACGTAAGCCCGAATTTTTGTTATGTCAGGTTGTGATGACGCGCAACGAAGGTGACCGCCCCCTGATCCTGTCCCTCGGCGGCATCAATATGGACTTGGTCACTTTTTCCGACCGGTTGCCGGCGGACGGTGAAACCGTGGTCGGTGACCGGTTCGTGACATATCCCGGGGGCAAGGGAGCGAACCAGGCGGTGGCGGCGGCGAGGATGGGGGCTCGGTCGGCGATGATCGGTCGGGTTGGCGACGATACGTTCGGGCCGCAACTGGTCGATTTGTTGCAGTCGGTTGGCGTCGAAACTAGCGCGGTAGGCGTCACCTCGGAAACCAACTCCGGCATCGCCGTTATCAGCGTGGGCGAAGGCGGCCAGAACCGGATCGTGCAGGTTTTGGGCGCCAACGAAACCTGCGGCGATGCTGAATATGATGCCGTCGCGGCGCTGCTCCCCCACGCGTCCGCGCTCATGTTGCAGTTGGAGGTGTCGGTTAGCCTCTCGATCAGAGTGGCCGAGTTGGCAGCCTCGCAGGGGGTGAACGTTATTCTCGACCCGGGTCCGGTCCGTGCGGTGCCGAACGAGTTTCACCAATGGGTTTCGATCATCACCCCCAACGAGACCGAGGCGGAGGCGCTGGTCGGGTACGCCATTGCCGACGCACACACCGCGGCAAACGCCGCCGGCGGGTTGTTGGCGAGAGGCGTGGGATCGGCAGTGATCAAACTGGGGGCGCAGGGGGCGTATTGGGCCGACGGTCAAGCAAGTGGCATGGTCCCCGCGTTTGCGGTGGAGGCCGTGGATACCGTGGCGGCGGGCGACGCGTTCAACGGTGCGCTGGCGGTGGCATTGTCCGAAGGCCATCCGTTGGAGACGGCGGTACGATGGGGATGCGCGGCGGGAGCGTTATCCGTCACGCGGATTGGAGCGCAGGGATCTATGCCGGAACGCCACGCAGTGATGGCGCTGCTGAATTGACCGGCGCCATGGGACGAAGCAACCAATATGGCCGTGGCAATGAACAATAGCGACAAATACTGCGCCGGTTGTGGGACGCGTTTGGTCGTGCGGGACCACGAAGGACGCAATCTGCCCGTGTGCCCGACGTGCGGGCGGGTGGTTTACTACGATCCGAAACTGGCGGCCGCGTGCGTCATCGAGCGGGACGGGCAGACGCTGATGGTCAGACGGGCGGTGCAAACGGGCTACGGCCTGTGGAGCATGCCGGGAGGTTATGTCGACCGGGGCGAACCGGTAGAGACGGCAGCGGCGAGGGAAGTAGTGGAGGAGACGGGCCTGCTGGTGCAGGTGCAGGAACTGATCGGGTTGTTTTCGGATGCCGGCAATCCGGTGGTGGTCGCCGCGTACTCGGCGACGGAGGTTGGGGGCGTGCTCGCGCCCGGACCCGAATCGCTTGACGTGGGGTTTTTCCCGATTGATGGATTGCCGCCCCTGGCGTTCCCACGGGACGAACAGATCATCAGGCGATGGCAACGGATTCGAGACCACCAACCCTGAGCCGACTATCGTGTCGCTGATCCGGCGGCTGGGCTCGCTGCAACCGCTAGCCAGACAGGCGGGGCGCACCCTGTTGGACGCCTGTATCCGTTGGAGTGCGCGGGATGCGGAGGTTCCGGCAAAATCATCTGCGACCGGTGTGCTGAGGAACTGCCCGAGCTGCTCCCGCCGTATTGCGGCATTTGCGCCGCGTACAGCGAGCTTGAACTTTGCCAGGTTTGCGCACAGATGGGCCGGCATTTCGAAGGCGTGCGCGCCCCGTTCCGGTACGAAGGAAGCATCAGGCAGGCGATACTGGCCCTGAAATACGGCGGCATCAAGGCAGCCGCGCCGCAACTTGGAGACATGCTCGCCGACTATCTCCAGTCCAACCCGCTCCCGGGCGACCTGATAGCCCCAGTGCCGATGCATGCCACTCGAAGGCGGGAACGCGGGTACAACCAAGCCGAGTTGTTGGCCCGCCGGGTCGCCGGGCGGTGCGATATTTTGTACCAGGGCGATTTGCTGGTTCGAACCCGACGGATCGATGCCCAAGCGGGCATGACCGGCGCCGCCGAAAGGGTTGCCAACGTGGCGGATAGCGTCGCGTTGTCCGACCGTAGTGATGTGCGTGACAAGCACATCATATTAGTCGACGACGTGGTGACCACGGGAAGCACGCTGGATACCTGCGCAGCGGCGCTCAAGAAGGCCGGCGCCGCGTCGGTCTGGTGCCTGACGCTAGCGGTGGCCGGGAGCCGGCGCCGGGGAAAATGATCACGGGGTACGACTTGCCCGAGAGGGCGCGGTTGTGTCCGTTGTTGCGAGGTCGGCAGGGTCAATGTCGCGTCGATGCGCGGGTCCCGTGTTGTCACGGTCGTGTTGCGGCGGCGGCAGGTTAGCCACCCCTGCGAGTCTCGTTGCCGGTGGCTGCTGCGAAGATTGGGCAGTACAATCAGGCGATTCGCGTTTGACATCCTACAGGCTGTCTGCTGAAATGGCGGCAACGGGTACCATACCGACACCAAAAGATCAGGAGGCAGCATCATGGCAGGTAACACTATCGTTTACGTTGGCGCCGAAGCCAGCGGACTCTACCGAAAGATGGCGGGCGATGCGCACTGGGATCTGCTCACCGATGGGCTGGCGCCGGCCACTCAGGCGCGGGCCATTGCCATTCATCCGAACGACCCGCGCACTATCTTTTGCGGCACGCAACGGGGCGTTTACCGGAGCACCGACGGCGGTGACCATTGGCAGCGCATGAACATGACCGAGGGGCGGGCGGTTTGGTCCATCCGGTTCCATCCCAACGACTCCAATGTCATGTACCTGGGCACCGAAGGCGCCGAGGTGTACAAGAGCGAAGACGGCGGCGAGAACTGGGCGCACATCGCCACCGTTTCGAACCCGTCACAGGTGCAGATGGCGTTTGCCATGCGCATCCTGGGCATCGACATCGAAGCCGCCAATCCGAACAATATGTACGCGGCGCTGGAAGTTGGCGGCGCGGCCAGCAGCACGGACGGCGGCCACACCTGGACGATTCGCAACAGTGAATTCGCTGGCGACGTGGACCTGCTGGACTTGCACGGCGTGGCGGTAGGCGGCGCCGACTCCAGCTCAGTGTTGATATCCAATCGCACGGGCGTCTGGCGGAGCACCGACAAGGGGGCGTCCTGGCAGGACTGCAACTTTGACAGCTTCTCTGACATCAAGTACTCGCGCGGCGTGGTGCGGGACCCCAGCGACCCGAACACGCTGTATGCCTGCGTGGGAATGAACTTCGGCAGCGAGCAGGGCGGAGTGATGCGCACCACCGACCTGGGCGCCACCTGGGAGAGGTTCGACCAGGGGATCAGTGCGGGCAGCACCACCTTCGGTGTGGCTGTGAACCGGCAAGACCCGTCGCAGGTCTATTTCTGCACGCGGCGTGGCCAGGTGTTCGGCACCCACGACGGTGGCGCCAACTGGACCCAGGATGCGGTACCCGAGATGGCGACGAACGTGATCAGCGTGGCGTGCACCTCCGCATAAGTCAGCCCGCTGGACAGGAAACGGCCAAAGTGAAGGGGCGGGTCCAAGACCCGCCCCGAACTTTTGCGGAACTGCCGGATACTAGCTGCTGGCTTTGGGAAGCCAATCCTCGTTCCAGGGGAACTCGTCGCGGCCATTGCCGAACGCGGGCAGGCCCTGGTCGATGCGTTCGCGGTAGGGACTGGTGACGGGTTCGCGGTACGGGTAGAGACCACCTTCGTACATCTGCTCGCCCTTCTTGAAGTGGGTGGCCTGTTCCAGGGTTTCCACGAAGGGCATGTTGATGTCGTAGAGATTGCCGGCGCTGGCGCGAGGCCGCGGCCCAGCCTTGGAGACGTGCCCGTAGAGCTCACGGCCGATGATACGCTCGGCGGCCCAGACACAATCGATGAGCTTATCGATGTCAACGCCGGTTGGGATACCCATATCTTCCATCATGTGGAGCAGGTCTTCAGTGGGGGCCATGCCGGTGGCGCGGCCGTTGCCGCAGTAGGGGCAGCCGCCGAACCCGCCGATGGTCGCCATCGAGCTCAAGGGTATCCTCGGGGCCGAGAACACGCATCGCGGCATAGGCGGAGGCGATGGCCATGTTGCGGCCGTTATGGAGGTGCAGGCGGAAGTGATCGATTTCCGGCCAGCGCTCCTTCACACGGGAGATACTCTCTTCCACCTTGGCCGGCGTGCAGTGGCTCATGGGGTCGCCCATGGAGCAACTCCGGACGGCTATTCCGGCCTCATCCCACAACCCGTGCTGATATTCCAGCAGCGTCATCAGGGTGTCCACTTCAAACTCACCGAGGAAGTTGGAACCCCAGGAGGCGTTACAGCCGATACCGGATTGGGTGATGCCGACTTCCTGGGCCTGGGCGATGATGGCGGGCCAGCGTTCCATCTCCTGCATTTGGGTGCGGTTGGTGTTACGGCGGGCGAACACGTCGCAAAGGTGGCAGCTGAGCCGCGGATACGCGTCGCGCTCGATGGTCAGGGGCGGCGAGTAGGCGCGGGCACGCTCGATGCCGCGCTGGTTGAGCGCCAGAGCGGAATAGGTGACGCCCATCTTGGGAGTGAACCGGTGTACGATCTCGTCGATGCGCTCCATCTGCGGGGTCCACCGGGGGCTGACGAACGACCCGACAACGATGCTGGTGAGGCCGGTCTCGGACAGCATGTCGAGGAGCTCAACCTTATCGTCAACGGCGATGTCGGCGTCCTCGATTTGCATGCCCTCACGCATGCCCTCACGCATGCCCTCTTCCTTGTAGTGGACGGTGGGCCATTGGTTTGGCATAAGGATCTCCTTGCGCCAGTTGGCGCGGCAGGTTAATTACCAAGGGCGCGCGAACGCGCGGAATGCCGAAGATTCCAGGGTTGGCCCGCCGGCATTGTCAAGGAAGCATCCGTCATGCCAGGGGCCGGCAACGCCAGCGGCTCGCGCTCCGTCAGCGGGTCGCGGCGCCGTGCCGGTTAGCCGGGACCGAGGAACAGGGCGTAGGCCAGCAGCTTATAGACCAGCTTGGCAGCGGTGTAAGAGTGGGCGGGCAGACCCTGATCTGGCGCGAGTTCGCATATGTCGAAGCCGACGATGTGCCGTTCCTGGCAAACTTGCCGAAGGAGACCAGTCAGTTCGAGCCAACGCATTCCGCCGGGCTCAGGTGTGCCCACGGCGGGCATTTCGGAGGGGATCCAGGACGTCCAGGTCAACGCTGACGTAAACGAGAGGGCCCAAGCCGGCGATTATGTCAGGTATGTCCGTCTGGTTCGCCGGTGGCCAGTAGCAGGCGGGAATACCGGAAGCTTCGATGAACTCTCGCTCTTCGAGGGCCAATGCGCGGACACCGATTAAGGAAATGGGACAGTGTTCGGCGATGCGGCGGGCCCCCGAACCATGACCCCAGGCAGTGCCCTGGTATTCATCGCGCAGGTCGGCGTGGGCGTCAATGTAGAGCACCGACAGATCCGGGTGGCGTTCCAGGTGGGCCAGGGCCGACCCGATGGTGGCGGAATGATCGCCGCCAATGACGCCGGTCAGCTTGCCCGAACCCTGGGATGCGTAGTGCGAAACCGCAGCCCGAACGCGCTCCATCATTTGATGCGGGTCGCCGACGTGGGGTTCCAGGGGTGGCGCCGTGTAGATGCCGAAATCCGCGACATCCACTCCTAGCTCGATATCGTAGTCTTCCAGGGCAGCTGAAGCGGCGATGATGGCCGCGGGGCCGTGGCGCGCGCCCGTCCGAAAAGAGGCGGTGCTATCGATGGGGACGGGAATGAGGACGGCGGCAGCGGTATCCAGCGAGGACTGCTGAGGCGGCAGAGCCAGGAAATTTGTCGGCGTCCAGGGGACGGGCGGGATTTGAGGATCAGGCAACAGGCGAGCCGGAGGCGGCGGTTTCCAGCAGGCTGCGCTGGCGTTGGGTCTCGCGAGTGCCCTGGTCGGCGTCGAGCCATTCCAGGCCGCGGTCGAGCAACCAGGTTTTGACGCTTTGCAAATCAAACAGGGAACGGGCGTCGGCCAAGGCCTGTTCATGGTCGAAGGACTTGCATGAGAAGACGTCGATGTTGACGTAGTCACGCTCGGGGAAGGTGTGGACGCTGATATGGCTTTCGGCGATGATTACGAAGCCGGAGATACCGTTGTCGGTCGGCTTTGGTCCGTGGTATTCGAGCACTTCCGGTTCAGTGATCCTGGTCATACCCAACGCGGCCGGGTACTCGTCGAGGAAGGATCGGAGGCGGTCGGTGTCCCACATCATGGCGTGGTCGCCGCCGAAACCATCAATGATCAGATGCATCCTTCTTCCGTGCCCCCGCCGACTGGATAAGCCCCGAAAGGATGGGGCCGCGCCGTCTTGTGAAATCGCGCCGCATAGAATATCATGGCCGCCACGCTAATTCAAAGGGTGAAATCCGCAGCCGCTGCTCATCGGCGCCGAGGTCGCAAATCCGTTGACCCGGCGTCGGCGTATGCTAGGCAACCGTAATTCCCATTGTTCCGTGCCAATGGCAGCGCGACCGACGGATAAAACTATGGCTGTAGAAGCTGAAAACCACGCTGAACCAGAGTTGGAACCGGTCACCGAGTCGGCAGACGTCGACACGATGATCGAGGTCCGGGATCTGACGCATTATTACGGGCCGATGCCGGCGGTGGAGAACGTCAACTTCACGGTGCGACGGGGCGAAATTCTCGGCTTCCTGGGCCCGAACGGAGCGGGAAAGACGACCACCATGCGGATCCTTACCGGGTTCATGCCTCCGACTCGGGGCACGGTGACACTGGATGGATACGACGTGGTCGAGAAGTCGCTTGAGGTGCGCAAACGGGTCGGTTACCTTCCGGAGTCCGTACCGCTGCACACCGAAATGACGGTGACCAGTTACCTGAAATACATGGGTACGCTCCGAGGCATGAACGGCCGTCGGATGCGCGGCCGCATCGATGACGTCATTGACGTTTGCCATCTGGAGGACTACCACAAGACCATCATCGGGAAGCTGTCCAAGGGATTCCGGCAGCGCGTGGGTATCGCGCAGGCCATCCTGCACGAACCGGAAGTGCTGGTCCTGGATGAGCCAACCATTGGGATCGACCCCATCCAGGTGGTGGAAACGCGGAGCCTGATCCAAGATTTGGGGAGGGAGCAGACGGTTGTCCTGAGCAGTCACATCCTGCCCGAGGTCAGCATGATCTGCGAGCGTGTCCTGATCATCCACGAGGGACACATCGTGGCGGCCGACACGCCGAACAACCTGGCGCAGCACCTGCGTGGTGTGGCCCAACTGGAAGTTGAAATTGGCGGGCCGCCGGCAGACGTGCTGCCCGTGCTGAGGAATATCGGCGGGGCAACCGAGGTGACTCACCACCCGCGACCGGGCGTAAACGCCTATCGTGTGAAATTCAGGGAAGGGCTGGACCTGCGCGACGACATATCGCGCACTGTGGTAAGTAACGGTTGGAGCCTGCTCAGCATGCAGATGAGCGGCATGACCCTGGAGGAAATATTCCTGCGGGTGACAACAGCGGAAGACGACGTCGAGTAACCGGACCAAACAGATATGCGAACCATCCGCGCGGTGGCGTTCAAGGAAATCCAGATCTATTTCAGCAGCCCCGTGGCGTATATCGTCGCGCTCATTTTCATGGCGCTGAGCGGGTTTTTCTTCGTCCGTGATCTGGGGAATCCTTTTCCCGAAGCCTCCTTGAGCAATTTTTTCCAGGGCGCGACGTTCCTGCTGATTCCGCTGGCGCCGGCATTGACCATGCGGTTGCTGGCGGAAGAACAAAAGCTGGGGACGATCGAACTGCTGCTGACCTCTCCGGTGCGGGACTGGGAAGTGATACTCGGCAAATACTTGGCGAGCTTCGTATTCTTGATGTTCCTGCTGTCATTGACATCATATTATGTCATCCTGCTGCTGGTGTTCGCGACTCCCGACCCGGGACCGATTTACTCCGGTTACCTGGGGTTGATCCTCTACGGGATGGCTGCGCTGGCAGTGGGGATACTGACATCAACGCTGACCAGCAACCAGATCATCGCCGCAGTGGTGGGCACAGGCATCCTGGTGGTGCTGTACGCGACTTCATTCATCGGCGACGTGGTCACCGGCGTCTGGGCCACGATATTCAACCAGCTGGGTTTTACCAGCCATTTCAACGACTTTGATCGCGGGATCATCGATTCGGCGCACATCGTGTACTTTGTTACCGTGACCGCGCTGTTCCTGTTCCTCTCGATACGCGCGCTGGAGTCGCGGCGCTGGAGGTAACATGAGCCAACAGCGCATCGGCGACGGGCCCCGTGATTGGCGCCGGCGCAGAGGACGAGACCGCCAAGGAGATGCCGGAGACGGTGGTGGTTCGGACGAGCAGCCGGCAGCCTTGGCGGAGCAGTCTCGGACGCTATTCTCATTCATAGAGCCGGCGTTCAACCTGATCGCGGTTTTCTACGCGCCGATACTCATTGCCGGCGTGATTGGTCTGATCGTCGGCGCGGTGCTGCTGGCATTCGTCGGTTCCCTCAAACTGTATGGCGGGATCGTCCTGGGCATCGGTGCGGTGTTGGTCCTGCTGGTAGGGATTTCGTACTTCAGCCAGGTGCTGGCCGCGTTTTTCAGCCGGACCGGAAGGTATGGGGTCAACACGGTAATCATGACCGCCGCCTTTTTCGGGCTGGTCGCGCTGGTCAACTACGTGGCGTTTGAGAACCATGTCAGGTTCGACACCACGGCAACCAATCAGTTTTCGCTGGCGGACCGCACGCGCGACCTGCTGGACGCACTGGAACGGCCTATCAGCGTCATCGCGTATTACCCGGATGCGATCAACGACATCGATATGCTGACGCGGCGTGGCAAGGTCGAGACTACGCTTAGCGAGTTCGGCCGGCGCAGCGGCAATTTCACCTACCGTTTCATCGACCCGCAGAAAGAGGCGGACCTGGCTCGAAGCCAGGGTGTGACGTCCTACGAGACGTTGGCAGTGTCCGCGGTGGGAACGGATATTCTCGACTTGGTGCAGCCGACGGACGGGGTTTACAGTCGGCTGGAGCAGGATCTGTATACCGCCCTGCTGGTGGCGACCGAAACCCAGCGTAAGAAGGTCTATTTCCTCGCCGGGCATGGCGAACGCGACATCAGTCGGGAGGCCGAGGACGGGTACCTGAAAATCCGTGAAGGGCTGGAAGTGGACAACTACCAGGTGGAGACCCTGCCCTGGGCGCCGGTGGATGAAGAAGTGGCGGTGCCCGACGATGCAGCACTGGTCGTGATCGCCGGTCCGACCGGGGAGTTGCCCGCGGCACACGTGGACGCGCTGAATTACTACATGGCCGGTCGATACCCGGACGGCGAGCCACGTCGGGAGGCGGCAAGGATGATTTTCCTCGCCGAGCCGGACACGCACGACAGTTTCCGTGCCTTCCTGGCGTTCTGGGGTGTGGTGGTGACCGACAGCTACATACGCGATATCGAAGGATCCCAGCCCAACGCGCCGCGCACGTTGCGGGTGGGCATCTACAACCCGCAGGCGCCACCGGAGATCGTCGCTCCCAGGGGACGGCCGTTGAACGTGGCTTTCATGCCAGGAACTGCGGCGATTGAACCGATACTGGAAGAAACCAACACCCGCTTGCCGCGACCAATCGCGGCAACCACGGCGTCGGCTCGGCTTATCGACGATATCGAGCGTGTTGATCCGGTGGAAGGGGACCCGCAGCGAGTGTATTTCCCGGCGATGTACCTGGACATCATCGCGCCGGTGGGTGGGGCTGCGCCTACCACGAGGCCACCGGACAACCAGATAGCCAGCATGGTGGTGTTCGGCGATTCCGATTTCGTGTCGAACCGGAATGTGGACCGTGGTTCAAGCGCGGCCCTGTTCCTGAACTCGGCCAACTACCTGATGGGCGACTACTCGCTGGTGTCCATACGTGACCGGGAGTTCGTCTACCGCGAGTGGAACCTGGACGAGAACGAGTTCAATTTCGTGCGGTTCTCGACCTGGCTGCTGTTGCCGGGATTGATGGGTATCATGGCGGTCGTGGTCTGGTGGGTTCGCCGGTAACCCTGCAGGGTCGGTCACACCATGAATATCCGGTTAACGATCCTCCTGGTGTTCGTGCTGGCGTTGTTTGGAGCGTTGGCGCTTTGGTTCAAGCCGTGGGAGCAGAACCCGCCGCGCGAGGAAGAACCTTGGGCATGGCGCATCGATGACGATGCCATCGTCCACGTGGAAGTAACGCACCAGGACCAAACGTTGTCCTATGACAAAGACCTGGGCCGCGGCAAGTGGTTCATCGTGGATGGCGACGAACGGACGGAGGTTCACCAGCCCAAGTGGGCGGGCACTCCCTTGCTGCTCAGCGGACCCAGGGTCAATCGGGTGTTGGCGACGACGATCGAAAATCCGTCCCAGTACGGATTGGAACCTCCCGAAAGCATCATCGTCATCACCGAGGAAACCGGACGTTCCTACGAATTCTGGCTGGGGAACCGGACGCCGGACGAAGACTACAACTACATGCGGCTAGTCGGTGACTCGCAACTGTTGACGGTTCCCGAGATCTGGGCGACGGTGGTGAACCGGCTGGTGACCGAGCCGCCGTACGTGCCGCCGCCGCTGGACCTGGGGTATTTCTACGAGGAAGATTTCCGGGATATCCAGGAGTTGGAGATTACCCACAACGGGGTCACCGTAACCTACGCGCCGGAACCCGGCGAGCGGACCTGGTATGCCACCAAGGGTGACGAGCGGACGGCGATCCAGGAACCAGAATGGTGGTTGTCGCAGTTGCAATGGTTCGGGCAACCCACCAAACCCGGCGGCCCTGACACCCCGGGGGGCTGGCATGTTGACGAACAAGGCGCGGACGATCCGAAATACGGCTTGCAGCCTCCGGATACCACGGTCAGGATCGCGACGCACGAGAAGACCCGCGAGTTTTTCATTGGCAGCGGGCACATCGAGGTTGACCTGGACGACAAACCCGTCCTGGACGCCGCCGGCAACATCCAGGTGCTGGTGCACTACGCGGGATTGCCGGACGATCCGATTATTTACGTGGTAAACCGAGTACGGGCGGAACGCACGCATTGCCTGGTGGAAAACCCGCCGACCGAAAGACCATACAACTGCCCATAGCCGGGCCGCTGAGGAGGCTATTTTGAAGGCAGAGATTATCTCCGTCGGCACGGAGCTGCTGATGGGAGAGTTGACGGATACCAACGCCAGCTGGATTGCCGGTCGCTTGCCGGCGCTCGGTATACAGCTCCAGTGGGTCAGCATCGTCGG